GTTCATGTTAAAAGACAATATGAACAAAAAGATTGTAAATATGTTTATTGAATTATCAAATAGTGCTGCAAGACGTTGGATACATAACCATTTTGCAAATCATTACCAACAATGTAACACAAGAATGAATCTTCTAACATTATAATCCAGAAGTGGAAGTAACTTGTCATAGGCCCTTTTATTTACCAATGCACTACCCATGCTTGACAAGAGAGACAAATAAATAGGGCAGGAAATTGCACATAACACAAAGAAGAAAATAAAAAACGGATTTTAAAAAAAAATGAAGAAACAAAATTCATTCATAATCATAGATACTTCCTTGAGTCAAAGCATGAAGCTTCTTCAATTCAGATGGCAATGGTTGGTAATTGACTGCATCCTTAACAGAATGAGCGTTAGATCATAAAAGATATACCTTTTAAGTTGGGCACATCCAAAGTTTTTGACAATGCACATAGACTAAAGAATGGAGAGCTTGTGAGATAGATAAAATTATTTATTAGAAACTTCCAGAGAAAAATGATTGACATAAGTAGAACCCATGAGCTGCTCATGCATATTAATTGGAAAAAAGAAAAACAGTAAAGCCAATGAAGCTCTACAAATTTGATGATTTGTGATTCTGTTGCAAAAGAATTGTTAACAGAATCAAGACAGAATGGAGAAGAGGCTTTAGGTACCATGGGGTTGTATGAAGAGGGCGATGGAGCTATTATTAGCTTCTTCATCTATCTCTAAATTGCCTTAAACTTTGAAGGAGTAAAACGGACTCAGGTGTATAGCATGTCTCAGGTAAGATGAACCAATGGCAAGAGAATAAAGAGCAGCATGGGTAGACTGAAAAATCAAGTGAACCCAAACAAAGGTTATATTGTTGCATTTCATAAATGGATAAGACATCAGTCTTAATTTTATTTTTTGATTTTTAAATAAATGAAACAGCAATGATTTGTGAACCATTTTGATTGAGGCGAGTCACCCAAGCCAACACACAACTTGGTCTAGTTTCATGACTTGGTTTCTTTATCTATGGAGCCCACTCCGACAAATCTCAACCAATTAGCCAAAGTCTGTGGCTAATGGTCACTAAGAGAAGCTCCATAGATAATGGACAGATAATGTACAGCACCAAAGTTCGAAGACTCAACTCAACTCACAAACCACAAAAAGAAAACTCCTTAAATTGGGTTGAAGGCCATTGGAAACCACAAATGCAATTTGGGGGGGCCCTATACAAGGTTTAAAAATTCATTTATTATTTTTACCACTGTTTTTTCCAATAAGACCTGGAACTGATCCAAGCTGAGTTAGCTGGGGCAATCCCAAGTTTTTCATTCTTGGAGGGGCCTACTAGAAAGAGAAAGTTTGTGACTAAAATGTAAAATGATTTCCTGTGGAAATGGGAGAGTAGACTCATATTTCATAAGTCAAGGAGATAATTTAAAAGATTTTATTATCAAAAAAAATAAATAGGGATTTTAATCACAGGAGTATCATAGGTGAAGTGATTGGCTGACTTATCTGAACAATGGGAATAGGGGAGTGTAGAGACTAGCTAGTGACAATGTTTCTTGGGAGTGGGGGAGAAAACCAAGGAACATAGAAAATGGGGTCAGAATGTCCAACAATAGATCTGAATAATCAAGACAATAAAGCCTTAGATCAAAGTGAAATCTCTAAGTTGAATTCAAGAGTTCTTAAATCTACCATCAGTGAGTAGGGTGTATCCTCTACCTTTGATCCAACTTGATGAGTTTTAAAAGCATGTAACACTTGTTTGATAACATCTTGGTTGTAACACTAGGAAGACGGTTACAATATGCAGAAAGGCCAGTTCCAGAACTTTAATAAAGGGCAATCAGGAATATTGGAGAGTGTACTCCTAAGGAGACTAGGAGGAATGGCAAGAATGTGGAAGGAAGAAGAGTAGTGGGGTGGGGTCTTCTATACCCAAGGATGTCCTATTCTTTGGACATATTGACAATTTAATTGAGAAGAGAACATATATTTGATCATGGAAGTCTTGAACACACATTGAATTTACTGACAAGACAATTTGACCCACAAAATGACCATAGTTCATTAGGACTGAGGAGTGTTTTATAAAGAAATTGTCTGATGTTGTGCAAGGTTTTGCATCTCATTTGATTCAGGATTGTGACATTGGAAAATAAAATTGAAGATTCAAAAGCCTCATGAGAAGTAGTTATGCTCCAACATAAAAAGAACCAATGTGAGGAAATACATAACTCTGGTCTAACCTAGGGGAGGTATAGCAAATATTGGTAAAATTGTTGTCCACCAATATCATAGTTTTTGAATGTGCATAAAGATAGTAATGCGGGTTTAGAATCTTGCGTATGCAATCACCCACTTTATTAGCCCTGCCAAGTGAACCCCGTGTCCCTCATCATCTAGTATATCATATTGGATACTTTTGTACCTTTTTGTTACATGGACAAACTTTCCTTCTATTTTTAAATAACCCAGCATCAAGTAAACCACAAAATTGTTCTCATTTTTTCGAAAACATTTTAGCAAAACTCCAGAAATTAAAGGACAAGAATCCATGATTATTACCAATTCAGTCTTTAATCATAATTTTTTTTTTGAGAAATGTCAACATTTGTATTGCTGTAAAAGAGAGATTACAGTATAGTGTTCCTCCAGCAGTGCCCTCTAGTCTTTAATCATAATTACATAAAGCAGAATGTAAATCCCTTTTTGATAAAATCATCATTAATAAACCATCAAAACGTAGACCCTATTTTCAGTTGAAAATTTTACTTGGGCCCAAAACCATTTATTAAAGGCCTCTCATGACTTTTCTCATGGAAAATTACCCAAATATGGCAAAATACGAATCCAAACATGGTCAACTTTCTCATAGGAAGAGAACCAAACTTGGGGAAGTTTAGAAAGAAAAAGTTACAGTTGGTACAAAACAGGTGGCGATATAATTAGAAGAAAAAGAAAAGAAGACTATATAACAAATGGAGAGAAAATTAGAAGAAAAAACAGAAAAAAAAGTATAAAGGATATGTGGAGCTGATCAAAATCGATTTTTCATTACATGTTTATTGATTTATTCTATGTTGGATATATTCTCAGAGACAACATGGAGAAAAAGGTCAAACTTGGTGATCACTGAGTTTTAAGATCATGCACAAGCAATACACCCTAATATGGAAAAAACAGCCGGTCCTATAGCTTGTTCATCCTAGAACTTGAGCCCTTGAGGGTATTTGATCGTTCACTAAATTTATACAGGACAATTAATCACAAATCAAGTCTTTGCAAAATATTTTCTTATGAGATCAGAAAACTTCTCAGATAAGCAGTACAGGCCCTTCTCACAATATTCCCTCAAACAGTGGGAACAAAAATACTAGATTTTGAAGACAAAACCCCTAATCCTCTCCCTCGATCTCTTAACAATCATCAAAACCATCATCTGAGTGGTAATTCAAGCTCTGAAACCACAGGCTCCTGGTTGAACTGTGTAATTCTCTATGATGGAAAAACCCATTCGCAGTCAACATCAAAAGAGCACGCTGGATCCAATTATACAGAAACCCAAGTGGGCCATTAAAATCTCTGAGAATGTATGCAAGAAACCAATTAGAACACAAATACTAAGAAAAGCATCATATGGAATTCACCATAAACCTAATGAAGCATGCTCCCCTGGAGAGAGAAAATGAGATGTGGCTATTGTTTGGCGGCTATATTTGCTGAGTTGCAACTTGGAAACCCAATATTCAGAAATGGGAATTAAAATTGAGGCTCTAACAGAAGGCACTATCTAGAGGATAAGCATCCTCTCCCTCCCTCACTCCCTCCATAAAGCTCAACAACAATCCTCGCAAAAAAGCAACACAGAGATAAAGCTCAACAATCTGGAAACAAAAACGAAATATCAATCATTGAATGGAAAGAAAACAATAAAATTATCTCAGAGAAACTAAATTTGAAAGGTAATTACCCTATAAGGGTAGAGAGAAACAAACAGAAATCCTTGGAGCTTGAACTCAAAATAGGTTTGTTTTTTTAAAAAATTTTTTTTTTTACTCAAACTAGGTTTTCCTTCCTCTGAGATTCCCAATACAGAGATAAAGCTCAACAACAATCATCACAAAAAAGCAACGCACAGATAAAGCTCAACAATCCAGAAAAAAAACGAACTATCGATCATTGAATGGGAGATAAAGCTCAACAATCTGGAAACAAAAAACGAACTATCAATCATCGAATGAAAAGAAAACAATAACATTACCTCAGAGAAATTAAATTAATAAGTACTCACCCTAGAAAAGGGGGACGCTTAGAGAGAAACAGACATTCTTGGAGCTTGAACTGAAACTAGGTTTTCCTTCCTCTGAGATAGTAATATCTCAACCTTTTCAGAATCCAGGCAAAATGAAACGCCCCAAAAGTTTTGTGAACTTATTAGCGATTATGCGAGGTAGCAAGAGAGAGAGAGATTTGAGATGGTCAGAAAATGTCAGCGGAAGTTTGCAGTTGCACTGTTGGAACAAGGAAAGTGTGTCCACGAAATCCCTCTCTTTCTCTCTGTAAAATAGGATTTAGCAGCAGGGGAGAGAGAGGGGCGAGCAGATGAACCCGAAAAAAACAAACTTAAAATTATTTTTTATGAAATTAATTTTTTGGAGACTATTTTCGCGGGAACTATAAAAACAAACTTGAAGTTATTTTGTATGAAATTGATTTTTTTGGATACTATTTTAGCGGAAACCGTAAAAGCTCAATACTTTCTGCTTCAGGAAAATTATGAATATATTATAAAAAATATCTAAACTACCCTTCTTCATTCTTTACCTTACCGACGCCTCACTCCTTTATCCCATCAAAATAGGGCTCGGACACCGTGTAAGTACGGTATGACCATAGAGTTTCGACACCGTATAAATTGCAGTTCGACTATAGGACTTGGCACGGTGTAAAGTGCACCCCAGCAGTTGAAAATGGCGATCTGCGAGTATTCAGTTTCGGTTGTTCTCCGGCAATTGAAAAGGGAGATCTGGGAGTGCTAAGTTTCGGTCTGACAGATGTCTTAAGGCTGTTCGATTCGATAGTTGTTTTAGAGCGGTCCGGCACTTATGCGCTTCGGCAATGTGATGGTGCGTTTTAACAATGTGCTATTGGCTCTAAAACACAACCTTAAATCCGGTCAAAATGATTTTTTGTATAAAAAAAAAGTAAGTTCAATCTACAAAAATATTCTTTTTTCCTTTGGGGTGTTTACATAGAAATGTTTTTTTGGGAAAAAAATGAGAGAAATAGAGAAAAAGTTAGGTTGGGTATGTTGAAGTGTGGTATTGAGGTTTTTTGTAAATTTTTCAAAAATTTATATAAGGTTGTAACCTTAAAATGTAGAATTAAAGATGCACCTAAAAAATTTATCATAAAAGATTGTTTGGAAGTTGGGAAACCCTCTAATTGATCATCTCGACATTGAGATGTATGAATATGAAAAGAAAAAAAGATTTTGAGTCTACAAAATATTGTCTCTTGCAACACATTATCTGGACCGTCAATTTTCAAGATTTTCATGTATTCACAAATCTACATGATTTGAACAATTTTTAGACTTTAACATTTTATAATAAGAGATGAAAATAGATTCTTAAGTCATCCTAATAATTTTTTATATCAAAATTACATGTTATGATAATTTGGAGGTGCTCCTTAATTGAATCATTTAAGGTTGCAACTTCAAACAATCAAAGTAAGGCACAACTCTAAATTCTATCATAACATGTAATTTTGGTGTAAAAAATTCTTAGGATTATCCCAATAATTATTTTTATATATAATTATAAAATTGTAAATTCTAATAATGGTTAAAATCAAGTCGATATATAAACATATAAATTTTTTGAAAATAAACAGTCTCGATAATGTGTTTCAAGATACACTATTTTTTAAACTAGAAATAGATATCTCAAATAGATTCACTGTGAATTATATCCCTTATTTGTCATGCCATTTAAGAGATAAAAATCGCAATGAATATATTCGAGAGAATTTAGGCATGGCACCACTAAGCGATAAAATGAGTGAGAGTAGACTTATGTCGGTTGGCCATGTATAGTACTGACCAAGTACAACACATGTTAGGAGGTGCGAATTAGTTCAAGTGAAATGACTAAAAAAGACAAAGAATATGCCCAAAATGACGTGGTTAGAAGTAATCTGAAAAAATATACCTCACTGAGGATATGTCATTTAATAGAGTAGAATAGAGAATCAGGATTCATGTAATCAATCTCAATTAATTGGTAAAATGCCAAAATGATGATGAATACAATTAAATTCAATCTACTAAAAATATGGATTTAGAAAAAAAAAACCAAACTAAAAAACAAGTTTCTTGAATTTAATTGCATTAAATTTTTTTTAGGGCTTTTCTGGCTCCATATAGCATTCGAGCAAGTCCACTTAAGCTTGCCCAAGTTATCCATCTAGTGTACGGCCCGAGTCTCAAGCCCAAGCCAAGCTTGTGAACCTTGCTAATGCATATAAATTTGGGTGGCTTGGGTATGTCCAATTGAAGAATATTAAAGTCAAATTTTATTTCGACCTTTGTGACACACTATAAGCGGTCAAAATTTACATCTGATGACTAAGAGTGTTGGTAGCCTCTCCTTGCACCAAAGGTGAATAACATAGAATTCTATTTCTTTTTGGGTGTGATTTGCATAATTACATTTGATGATTAGGAGTGTTGGTAGCTTCCTTGCACCAAGGTGAATACCATAGAATTCTATTTCTTTGTAGGTGCGGTTTGCATAAGGTTGCAACTTTAAACAATCAAATTAAGGCACACCTCCAAATTTTATCACAATATATAATTTTGGTATAAAAATATATTAGGATAGTATGAATATCTTTTTCATCTCTAACTATAAAATTTAAAACTTAAAAAAAAGTTCAAATCAAGTAGATTTATAAACATATGAAAATCTTGAAAATAGACGGTCTAGATAACGTATTGCAAGTTGCACTATTTTTAGGACGCGAAATCCTTTTTTTTTTTTTTTTTCATATTCATACATCTCGATGTGAAGACGATCAATTAGAGGGTTTTTCCATAGATTTATGAGGTGTACCTTAATTCTACATTATAAAGTTGCAACCTTATATAAACTTTTTCCTTTATTTTTACTTTTTTATTTTTATTTTTTATACCAAATCCAAAATAAGCTCACGCATGTTTGAGAACTACATCCCATCCAAACCTCCGTCCAATATTTATTAGATAAAATTCTTAAATTGTACAGAATTCTGTTTGATATTATGATGTATATTTTTAAGGCATATCAGTGAAACAACTCAAATTAAGAAACAATAAAAAACCTACATCCTATCTAAACAAAAGAGAGAGAGGGAGAGAGAGAGAATTCGAATTAAAAAACAATAACAGTATCTACATCCTATCTAAACGAGAGAGAGAGAGATTGTGTCTAACAACTCGATTTTGTTAAGAAAACCCCAAGTATCAATTTAAGGGAAATTTATACCACTGCGCATGAGAGATGAGTTGTTTAACATTCTCTCTAAATCTTTTGAGTTAATTTCAAAATACCTAAGACACATAATCATGACATGGAATAGTTGCAGAGGGGTAAAATGCTAAATAGTTCATCTCTTATGGGAATTTTGATAATTTTTTGTAAAATTTAAAAGAATATGATAAATCTTTTTTTCATTATACAGGAACATGATAATATATTGTTTGTTTAGCATTTAGGTCATGTTTGGTTGCATATCAGATGTGGATAGCACGACTGGATGGGTTAGGACACAAATAATTGGGTGTTTGTTATAGAACTACAGAGAATTGTATCGCCCATAACGGCATTTTGGTGCCCCTTAAGTAGGACACAAGTAATTGTATCACATCCAAACGTGCCCTTAAAGTATACCTATAGAATGAAAAGTGTTTTGAGCCATGGACTACTTCCTTTTCTATATATCCATTTATCCAAAGGAAACCTAATTATGACGATAAAAGTACAATTTGTATTTAACATCATCAGTTGAGCCAAATGGACATACAAGGCCACTTAGCCATTTACAACCCAATTTCGGCTTTGAGGAACTAATTAATCACATTTTTTTAGATATATCTAATCACCCACAAATTAGTATTCAATAAAACGACCTTTGCCCCGCTAACTAGTTCCTGATTATAATTGCCATTTTGTAGAATGGAGTCAAATGCACATGCACCCAGATAAGCATTCATGGGTAGATCAGAACTACCTCAACTAATCGAAACCTCTACAGACTGTTATATATCATCAATCTGGACCTTTCAAAACCAAATTGAGGAACAAGTGAAATACATAGACATGATTTTCCTTGTGAGACACTCAATTATGAAAATTACAAATGTGCATGATGAAAACCATACAATATTAAATTGACAAGAAATAAATAAAAGAATAAAAAAAGAATTCTGCCAGTCATTTTATAGGGCATCCTACAATGATCGCAATGTCTTTTCAACTTCCTCAAGGGCTTGTCCAGCATAAAGCCGGAGCTGGCCTTTCCTCACTACTTTCACATTCATTCTCCCTGATTGCACTGCTTCATCAAGTTCCTACAAGAAGCAAAATACAAATTCTTCGAGCAAAAGTAATGAAACCATAAGGAATTCTCTTAGTACAGCCAAGTTATCCTTTCTTTTTTTTTCCCAATAAATGGTCAGCATATGCAGATCTTATACTCGAAAGAGGGCCATTACATCTCACAAGTACAATATATAGGAGTATATCTACATTCAAATCATAGAAATATATCTAAAATGGGAAATGTCTGAAATATTTTTTTTTGTTGCTTATTGGCAAGTGCATGCATTCATAGCATTCAAATACATAGAAATATATCTAAAATTGGAAATGTCAGAAATAAATTTTTTTGTTGATTTTTGGCAAGTGCATGCATCCATACCATCCTGATAGTTTGTTAAACATCCCCTCCATGGCTAAACTCCATGGACAACACTGGCCATTCTCTTTAAAATGGCCACTCAAGAAGCTGATAGTAGGGAAATTGGCATCTCTTCCATTTCATCAACTGACTACATGGGATTTCAAAACAAGTAAACTCCTCAATACATTCTCAAGCACTACATGTATGATATAAAACTCACATATAGCACCTGCCCCCCAGGACACCAAGATTATTCAGTGAACACCTTGAACACCTTGTAAGGAATGCACACTTCCACCACTTAAGCAAATTCCACAGTTGCAGGTCAAAGCAAGCAAAGATAATTTTTTTAAAAAAAGAAGATAGGATGCAGGGCAAATCATAAAGGGTGACTGAACTCTTGGGGAGGCGGCGAATGACCACTCTCACCAGTCACCAATCAAAGAAAAAGAAATACACTACAAGTATTGTAGATCCAACTATAAATAAATCCTCCAGTTTATCATTAGCATGAACAACGAAGGTGCTCAATTAAGTGGTTTTCTAAGGTCTAAGTGGTAAGCTATAGATTGAAAATGTGGCAAGAGCTTCAGTAATAGAATCAAAGCAGAGATGACAGGCAGATATCATAACAAATCCATCCACAATGGAGAGTACTTAGAGTACTATAGCAATGGGCCTGACGATTAAGCAACATCAACAGCTACACACTAGTGCTTGAGAAGTATCTAATATATATTAATGCTGCCTATTTTATACCCCAGTTTCTATTCATGGAGGAAGAAGAGTACTTATGAATAATGAGAAATAATTTTCATTGTTAATTAGATTAAATGCGGGAGGAGGTGATATACATATTCACAGGATTAGCATATTTGAAGTGAAAGAAGCTTTGACAAGGATGAATAGGAAAGCTTTAGAACCAGAAGGTATCCCGAGAGAGGTTTGGTAGTACATAAGAGAGATTGGCATGTGCTGGTTGACCAAATTGTTCAACAAGGTATTGGGAATAAAGAAAATGCAAGACGAATGGAGGAAAAATACAGTGGTACCCATTTACAAGAATAAAGCTAGCATACAAAATTGTGCGAATTACCAAGGAATCAAACTTATAAACCATACTATGAAGTCGTGGAAGGGAGTGATTGAATAACGACTAAAGCGTGAAACGATTGTATCCGAAAATCCATTTGGATTTATGCCAAGAAGGTCAACAATAAAGGTCATTTTCCTACTTAGGCAACTGATTGAGAAGTTTAGGAAGAATGAAAAATACCTCCACAAGGTCTTTATTGTTTTAGAGAAAGCTTACAATAGGATACCGAGAGATTTAATTTGGTGGCTGTTGGAAAAGAAAGGAGTCTCCAGATGCTATATTGACATGTTGAGAGATATGTACGAGAGAGCGCCAACTAGTGTGCGGACAACTAATGTCGAGACAAGTAAGTTTTCAGTTACAATAGGCCTACATCAGAGGTCAGTATTAAGCACATATCTCTTTGTTTTAGTTATGGACAAGTTAACTAGGCATCTACAAGGTGAGGTACCATGGTATATATTATGCGTGATGACATAGTTTTGATCGATGAGACTAGAACCGGTATCAATGCAAAGTTAAAACTTTAGAGGGATTCTCTAGAATCTAAAGGTTTTAAAATTAGCCGGACTAAGACGGAATATATGAAATGCAAGTTTAGTAATAATAGAAATAGAAATGAAGAAGTAGCTAAGATTGATGGCCAAAAAATACCTAAAAGAGAGTATTTTCGATATCTCGGGTCGACAATCCAAGAAAATTGAGAGATTGAGGAAGATGCCACACATAGAATTAGAGCGGGGTGGGCGAAGTGGAGATGTGCAATCAGAGTTTTATGTACTCACTTAATGCCAATGAAGCTTAACGAAAGTTTTATATGATAGTTCTGAAACTTGTTTTACTTTATAGGATGGAATGTTAGCGGTCAAGAAACACAATACCCATAGCATGGGTGTAGCTGAAATGAGAATGTTGAGATGGATGTGTGGCAAGACAAGAAAGGATACATTTAGAATAAATACATTCCAGGGAACTTAGAGGTGGCTCCAAACAACGACAAAGTGTGGGAAAGTAGACTTAGGGCTGGCCACATGCAGTGCAGACCTAATATAGCACCGGTAAAAGGCAAGGAGATGACCCAAAAGGACATGAATAGAAGTAGTGATCAAAGATATGAGGACTTATGGTCTCACCGAGGATATGGCCATTGATGGAGCAGAATGGCGGAACATGATTACTATAGCGTACCCCAAATAGTTGGGATAAGGCTCTGATGATGATGATGATGAATTAGATTGAATGCATATTATTAGGGGAAAAAAATCTCAAATACATTTTTCAATTACATCTGACATCATTATATAATTTATCATCCATGGCTACGGATTCTTGTCAGTGGAAACAAATTTGATACATTGAAGCATCACATATACCTATGAAATATCATCCGAAAATTACAAAATAAGGAAGATCAGACAGAGATGAATTAATAATGTTGCCAACAAATACTAATATCAAGTTTTATCTTGAAAATTAGAATATGGATAATATATTAAAACTCATCAAATGCAGGCAGTGAATCCCATTACGTCAAACAATTGATAGAAGTAATTTGCTTGATGACAGAATCACCTTAACATCTTTAGATGACGAATACAAACAAAACAGTATTTAGAAACCCTCATGAAAAAAAGTACCAGGGTCTTTTGATGTTCTATGCATGAGTCACCCGAAATATATCCCATTGCACCAATCTCCATAAATTCAAGAATAAATTATTCATATCTGGAAAAAAAAGATTGCTACATCCACAAGCTAACAATCGCCATAACCAAAATGTTCAAACCGAGCCAATGCGTCCAAGTTACTGCTTATTGTAGAGGAAAAGCAGAATTAGGAACTTAAGAATGTCCTAATAGGACTTACATTGATCGTCAAAGGAACAGCCTTCGCTTGGGCATCACCCAAATCTTTGAAAAATGATTCCAGTAGATAGCAGAAATTATTGGCATCCCCGCGGTCCTCAAACATGATGGTATGAGAACTACCTTCACCAATTGGAGAATGACCCATCTTTAAGGAATACAGTCCTTTGGAGCCGTCAGCACCTCTATACAAAAAGATTGCCTGAAGAATAAAGATTAACATAACAAAAATTAATTCAATCAAACTACTTTAAAATATCAAAGAAAATATGGATTTCCTGCATCAAAGAATTAAGAACTTATTTGTCAGTATATTGCAAAGGATCATAAAGCAACATACTAGTACATAACGAAGATTTTTCCACCATTGATCTTTCTCATTTCCTAGCTCATTGTCTTTGAGTTCTCGAAGCATATTTTCGGAAACCTGGTCCACATAATGCACTGAGTCACCTGTGACTGTGGAAGTATTTGATTCTTCTTTATACTCTGTCTTAAATGATCTATAAGAATTTTTCATTCCCTTCCCTGATTCAGTGCTCACATGTGATCCTCCTAGATGGTTTATCTCTCCTACCGGAAAATCATTCGTCACATCCTGTTCCCAATTATCAGCAACATCCACCTGATCACTAGTAGAAGCCTCCTTGCCACTTTCCAACCTTTCAACTATTTCATGATCTGAAACATCTGATTTTAATGGTGAACTTGATAGTGGCAATGGCAACTTTATTTGATTGATCTCATTGACAAAATTTATAATTTTTTCAGTTTCACCATGATGTGCACTTGATTCTCTGGTTTTATAAGATCCCATATTTTCTTGTAGCTCTGTTGGACTGCTCTGATTGGTCCCTTTTGTGTCAGCTGGTAAAGAAACAAAATAGAGCTATTTAATCTCATCAACAACCATAATGTACCAAGCGAAAAGTACATTCAAATTCCACAAATAAAGCCAAATAAACCCCATGTCACTAAGTTGAAAGATAATAACATTAATAAGCAGCTAAAAACACCTAAAAGATCATATTGTGTAGGAAATCATGCATAATGTTAGAAGAATGCTCTTATTGAGAATCGGCATTGGCATCATTGGACTTTGCAAGTCATACTAAATCAATCCTAAACCTTCAAATCTCTTGTCTATAAATATTTTAGGTATCTCCAAGGGCATTTTTAGCCTTTCATAACACAAGTCAAAACATCTATGATGAACCCAAACAACGGTAGCATTTCCATTCAATTTATGCAAATTTAACATTAAAATTCAGACCAACAGGGTTTACCAGTTTGGAGGTCTATAGCCTCAATCCTTGGCTGAATCCTCTCTTTTGTACCCTCGTCCTTTCTCTCTAACTTCCCATCGAGCATTCTCTCTAACTTCCCATCGAGCACTTTTGAGAAGCCAATCTCATCTTCCATATTATGCTTCTCGCGACCAAGGACCGAGTGGGAATTCCCATTTCGACCATCCACGTCAGCGCTCGTTGCTTTTCGCTTACTCCCTTCTCCATTTTTATCACTACTTGATCCCCGAGATCCCCAAGGAGCTCTTGCCTGGACACTCTTCGACCTATTTTTGTCAGCTTCTTTTACAATTCCATCGAGATTTTGCCTGTACTTGTAAGGGGAATTTTTTCTACTAGCTTTCCTGGATCTCGATTTTCCAATCAAATTTTGCACATCCAAAACCTTAGTTAAACTTTTTACAGGAAGCTCCGTTGAATCCTTCAAGCGTTTTGGAACAAGCCGAGGTAATATCTCTAAATGCTTATCAACTTCTTTCTCAATGGGTGTCTGAAATTTAACAGGAGCTGATAAATTCTTTGTAGTTTCAACAAATGTATCATTTTCTTCTAAACTAACAAATGGGTCATCCTCCTTCAATCTCTTTCTCTCATTAGCTCGAGCCTCCCTCGCCATACTTCGAATCAATGATATTCTCTCTCCTAGCTCAGCTTCACCAGTCGAAAGTTTAGCAAAATACCCATCCTTCCTTCCACTAGAAAATAACCCATTTTTGATATTTGGAGAAGAAGAAGAGGAAGACCCATCACTATTTTCCTCCAATTTTCCCAATTTATCATCAAAATTTGCAGACCCCAAAACCCAAACAGCACAAGCAGTCTGAAATACAAAAACCCCAACAAGGGACAATACTAGATGAATAACTGACCTGGAACTGAAGCTATCTGGGAATCCATGGCTTATAACCTCAGCCTGGTTAAAACCATGAATCTCCACCTCCAAGTTCTCCTCTTCTAAAGGGAGTGGAGCCATGCAAAGCTCCTCACTGATAGTATTATGATCAAATCTATCTGGTTCTATGACAAAATCAGAGAATTTTTGTTGTTGGGTATCTAACAACGCTGGTTTTGGTAGTGTTCTTAGTAGCTTGGGTCGCAATTTGTTCTTCCTTCTCCTACATTTAGAGGAAGATAAAGCAAGAGAAGCAACCAACCCATGTGCTCTTTTCAAAGTTAGATTTGAAGGGACGAAGAGTACCGTTGGTCTGGCCCAAACCATTGCTGAACTTTGAGGAAACCGAACCAGAGCATGGTTCATTATTTTTGGGATCAATAAACCATGACCTTTACTTTCTACTGAAGATTGGGGCCTGGCACTGTTAGCTCGCCCTCCCAAAGCGCGAAAATGGGCCGGGTCAATCCAGGCCTGGTATTCGAGGGGTGGGCTGGATTTGATCATGCCAAAGAGCCCTAGTCAAATTCCATCTTTATTTATTTTTGATCAAATGCAAGATTTCATTAAGATAATGAAGGTACAACAAATTCCACCTTTATTTTTTGGCTAGGCTGCCGATCCCGGAATTATTAATGAGGTTGGGTCAGGGGCGGGCTAATAAATGTTTTTTTTTTATGTTTCTAGTGGCCTTGTGGGGAGGCCATGGAACATGGCCCAAGCTCAACCGAGACCCTAGTGCGTAATTTTTGGGCAAGGGCCAGCCCGCACTTGGCCAACTTTAGTGGCTCGGGCTTGGCTATTCGTGACCAAGCCGACCTTGCTAGGCTGCCGGGCTGCTTGGTCCAATGTAAGACCTACTTCTAGTTATTTATTTAGCCTATTTGGAAAGTCAAGTTTTGATGGAGTATTTATTTGGTTCTTGATTTCTATTCTGGATTGGGGAATCACTAATCCGTATGGAAATTTCGCTCTTTCGTTACACTAGCTTGATAAAATTTACACTAATATTCCCTAAAAAGCTTTATTATAACCTAATAATCTAACTTTGGACCTCAAGATCCAAGAAGCTTTTCTAGTACACATATTTCGGATCTTGGAGGTTCGAAAATGTTCCAAATCTCATATTCAAGACCTAAAAAATCCAAGGTTTATGAGAAAGCCTCACAAATCTTGAGATCCGAAGTTTGAGTGAGGAACCCAAAAGGGAAATGAGGAACATCAATAGTCCCCATTTATGTAACTACAATAATGGGAAATTTCGTAATGCCTCTAGGGGATTTTCCATTTACGTAATGATAATCATGGGAAATTTATTAAAATACCCGGGGGAGATTAACTATTTAATAATTTATTCATATAATCTAATTTAATTTCAAACTACATACAATAAACACGTGATCATGAGTTGGGATGGTTGAAAACAATGTAAAATGTACTTCTTTCATTAGTGTTTTGATAAATTTCCCCATAATCATTCAACTACGGCAGCTAGCGGACTGTAGGGAATATTTAGAGGTGGCAATGGACCCTTATTCAGGTCAGTGTCCAAGTCCAGTCATATTTTTTAAGTCCCAATACATGAAATATATTTCAATAAAGTTAAATACATAGAGATTTTAATTTTTAGGTCGGGTCCGATTAAGTCCAAGCCCCACACCATATTTTCGAGTCCAGATCCATGTTCGGTGAATTCAGGTCTGGGTCCGGTCCCGACCCGTTGCCGCTGCTAGGAACATTGCACCTCAAAGGAAATGAGCAGCTGCAACATTCCCCATATATGAAATGATAGTGATATTTCGGACCTTGAAAGTAAGTTGTCTCAATCTTCAAACCCCGGACCCCCAAGTTCCGAAATTTAACCCATATTACTTTATGATAAGAATGGGAACAAAAAGATGAGCACATTAACTATATCCCTGCTGGAGCATACGATGCAATCTAGTCACTCGGTTAGATGAAGTTTTCAATCTGAAAATTTCGAACCTACCTAAAAATGACTAAAAGATCATCTTCAGAGGAGAAATTTAGAAATTTAAATTCTAGTACTTAGATCTTTAAATGGCCTTCAATCTTGAGAATTTTTTTTTTCAACGGCATAAAAAGTGTAATTCGAAAATTACTTTAATTGAAGTTAATCAACGAGCAGAAAAGATTACATCTCTAAAATTTAGGGTGCTACAATAACTGGTATATCAGGTTTTCCGGAAGACAATATGCTCCTTGTTAAAAAAAAGAAGAAACGGACAATTAAAAGACCCTCCATGATAAAATCACATTATTAGAACTATTAGAAAGTTTTTTTTATTTTTTATTGAGAAATGTTAAAAGCTTTATTACTGTAAAAAGAAATTACAACAGCTTACATCATCCGAAATCAAAAGAAAAGATAAATGAACACCCTTTTTCATAAGGGAGTCAGCCAAAGAGTTAGCATCTCTGTACACATAATGGAAAAATAGTCTTAAAGAATCAGTCAAACTTCTGAATTTGACACCAGATAGATCTCCGTTCCCATAGAATTCTTTACTCTTTCTTACACCATTTAAATCACATTTATAGAGTCCCCCTCTACCCAAAAAAAATCCCCAATCCTATGGGATTTAAAAAGCTTTAGACCTTGTAGAAGAACAGTCAACTCAGCATGATTTGCCGTTGCCATGCTCAGAGAACCAGTGTCACACCCCAAGAATTTACAGTACTGTTATTCCTGAGATGTGACGGACAAAACATATATACATCTATTGATAGGACAAATTTACAGTGGCGAGGTCTTACATAGTAAATAAAGAAAGCTAGCACAACAACAGTATCTTCCAAGGTTGATCTTGACTAGCACTCAAAATGAATCCGTAGTTATCCTGAAAAAATGTTTACCATAGTTTGATGAGTTTGGCTACTCAGTAAGTGATCATCAAAATCTTAAAAATAATCATGATTGAAAGATATCAATATTTTCCAAAATGAGATCTATTAACAGAAATGCATCAACAGTTTCACTTTCAATAAATGCATAATCAAGTATAATCCGAGTAATTGAAATGCTTATAACACTTTTAACGGCAGTACATAATTCAAAGGATTTCACAAAATACCCTACTGGCGTCCCAAATAGGTCACCTATATACCCCATCAGCGTCCTGATGGATCCAATTAATCCCTATCGGCGTCCCGGATA